TTTTGTTGCAAAAATCGACGTCAGCTTCTTTGTTCTCCAGTACCCAATCGACGAATTGGGCAGTGTTGGTCATGATCTGTCGGCTTCAATTGAGTTAGTGAAACTTTATATGCGTGTAATTGCAAGTCTTCTGTTAAAATTCGTTGCGTAGTGCCGTACGAAAGATTAGCTTGTTGCGAACGACGCCGAATTGACATTTGCGGAGCATTCTCCACACTTTCATCAACGGCCGCAATGTTTCCTATCGAACGAGCATTACAGCGTACAAGCACAGGTTTATCACAAACTAAACAAATCATCATTCTTAAACTTCTTAATTAACTTGCGAATTGTATTGTCAGATGGAAAATGTTTTCTTTCAAAAGAATCGCGAAATTTACGAAAGTTTTGTTTGCGTTATCGAATTTTTGTTCTTTCTCATAAAAACACTGTGCGATACACACTCATTGTTGCACCATATAACACTCCATTTCGATATTCCCCAACTTCAAGAACACAACACACGAAGAACTGCGCTGCAGTGCATACAACGAAAACGGCGCCAAATTTAAATCCTGCACTTCTTGGATCACCTCACTCTGCAGATAAAAGCCTCTTTTAAAGTGATTTATGTAAGTTTTTCTAAATAGCTACGAATACCACTTTTACAGACTTTTTTATTGATAAAAGTACGTTTACAGTACGAACCTTTGTATGTGTATCCCCCTTAATCTTAATTAACCTTATCTAATAGTTTATTAATTTCATATAATGTGTCGTACTAGAAATAAAGATTAATGTAATATGAGTTGATCTATTTCTTTCCACGAATTCCTGCAAAATATACACACAGAATTATTATTTTGTTAACACTTCTCTACCAATGTTTGGTTGGATGTAAGCTATATTTGAATTATCTGGTAATTATGATACGCGCTAGCATCGCATGTTTGGTTTCATCAAATATTTTGTATATTTTGCTATATACTATATGTTGGTGAACAAGAGTTACAGCCGATGTGCTTATACATAATTTCTAACTTTTACTCATATTCCATATTGCTAACATATAAATATTTACGATTTGTTGGATTAACATAACAATACCATTCGTCGCCATTATAAAATTGTTGGTTAGAGCAACAAATCATAAGTAACGAATCATTTGTTATTACAACGGAGTTATTTGCTGTCTTACATCAACAGACCACTTGTTGCGGTTACTGATGTTTTGTTAACCCAACAAAACTTTTTTTCTCAGTGATTGATCCACCTGATTGTCTTCTTATTGCAGTGTCTTCGAACTCGCTTCTTATTAATGAAGTACTCATTTATCTTTTTGATTGATTTTGTTCCAATGAAGTCCAGTCAATATCGACTTTTACCCAACTCATGATAATCGAAGAAAACAGACAGATAAATAAATGCGTTCACTTTCGTTCCAAAGCTTCGCCTCATGCAAGAATAAAAAAAGACACTTGGCTTCGATTGAAGGAACATTACACAGGCACATAAAAAAAACTGGTCTGTTCTTTTGATCGGATCACTATACCCCAAAGTATTTTGGCCCGCTGAACACGAATCCAGTGTCGAAATTGCTTCATCACCCTCCAGTTTTTGTAAAACCGCAAAAACTACGCTAAAATTCCAAAAACCGTCAAAACTCCATTCCATTAAAAGTCGCCGTTAGACGGAGTCCTGAAAACGGACCACAACACCATATCCTTATATATTTAAACCTACTGAAGACAAATCCGGTGTCAGAATTGCTCCATCGCCCTCAAATTCTGCAAAAATAGAAAAAATGTCATAAAAATTTGATTTTTTCCAGATAAAAAAAGATGTTTTCAGTCTTCTTTCTTTTCTTTTATAACGAACTCTTTTATCTTCAAATGACCTATGCAGTGGGTTCCTCTTTCTTTTTTTCTCTTTCGTTCTAGTATCCCTCTTCAACATCCAATAGAAATCTGCCATCATGTTTACATCCCACCTTCTTTGATAACGACGCTCCATTTCTTTTATATTAGGTGTATGAATTAATTCGGTCCGTTTTTTCTTCCAAAAAAAGACTTTATTATGAAAAAACATGAAAAAGTGCAGCAATCAAAGTATTTGCCATCGCTTGCTATTATTTTTTCCCATTTGTCTGGCAGTTGTTGCATTTCGTGACGGAAAAACGACTCGTCCTTCGAAGCGATTCATTCATTGAGCCATTTCTCTATTTCTTCATAATTGTTGAAGTGCTGGTCCGAAAGCCCGTGTGCCATCAATCTGAACAAGTGATAATCGGATGGAGCAATGTCTGATGAATACGGCGGGTGAGGTAAAACGTTCCAGCCAAGTGCTTCCAAGGTGGCCTTCACAATCTTTCCAACATGTGGCCGAACGTTATCGTGCTGGAAGATCACTTTGTCGTGTCCCTTTGCATATTCCGGCCGCTTATTCTTCAATGCGTTGTTTAAACGGATCAAAAGTACGGTCGGTAAAGTTCGGCAGTGATGATTTGGCTCTGTTTTAATAGTTCATGATACACCCTTTTGGTCCCACCATATACAGAGCATTACTTTCTTGCCGTGAATATTCCGCTTTGGTATCGATGTGGATGGTTTTCCTGGCTCGCTAATGGATTTTCTTCGTTTAGGATTATATCGAAATATATCCACTTTTCGTCTCCAGTCACAATACGATGCAGAAAATCTTTTCTTTTTTGCCTGGCAAGCAAGATTTCAGACATGGCTTTTCGCCTCTTGATGTCTCTTTCTTCCAGTTCATATGGCACCCATCTTCCTTCTTTGTAAATCTTTCCCATGGCTGCCAAACGCACAGAAATTGTTGATCGATCAACATTCAACAATTGCGCGAGCTCATGTTGCGATTGACACGGATCTTCATCGATTAGCGCCTGCAATTCCTCGTCCTCGAACTTCTTCGGCTGACCTGGGCGAGCTTTGTCATCGACACTGAGATCATCAATTTTGAAACGTCGAAACCATTCTCTGCATGATTGATCGGTGGGAGCACTTTCACCATAAGCTTCTACGAGCATTCGATGAGCTTCAGCGGCTGTTTTCTTCAAATGAAACTTCCTGTAAAATGAGAACTTCCTGGAAATGATGCTTTTTTGGCTCGAATTTCGACATTTTCGAATCAGATAATCACGATGTTATTGTTACAAACCCAAACGTTTATCAATGGCTGAATATTATTGCCAGATATCAAAACTAAAAACTAAAGCCTGTTGCAGACATTATAGGTTAGAAAACTACATAGTACAGCAATTGACCGCCAGATGGACCGAATTAATTCACACACTTAATATACTGGTGAAATCGTTCACATTGTTCTTCGCTATAATCTCCAAAGTTTTTCAGGGAAGTAATCGAGGTGAGAGTGCAGAAAATGCAATTTCAGATTCATCAAACAACCTAACTGTTTGAAATTGTCCAACATTTCCGCGACTGGATTTTCGTAATCCTCACTTTTGTGATTCCCCAAGAAATTCTGAGCGACCTTTTTGAAACTGAGCTGCCGTGCTGCTTTCTCAATATCATTCATTTTCGTAATGAATTTTTCATCTCGAAACATTGTACGAATTTGCGGTCCGTCGAATACACCTTCTTTTAACTTAATATCACTGATTTCCGGAAATTTTTCTCCTAAGTGTTGAAAGCATTCACCTTCTTTGTTTAAAACCTTGATGAATTGTTTCATCAGACCAAGTTTAATGTGGAGGGGGGGAAGCAAAACATTCGAAGGGTCAAGCAGAGGTTCGTTTATGATGTTGTTCGACCCTGGATTAAAGTCTGTTCTCGTTGGCCACACTCTTTTTATAGTGTTTTTGCCTATCTCTACTATCCCATAAACATAAAAAGCAGGGATTTTTTGTAAATTCTATTTACTATCCCAAGATCATGCTTGAAATTTTAAGATCGTTACTTTTTTATTTTATTATTATTTTTTTGCGGTTTTACAAAAACTGGAGGATGATGAAGCAATTTCAATATCGGATTCGTGTTCAGCGAGCCAAAATACTTTGGGGTATAGTATAAATCTGATCAAAAGAACAGATCACTTTTTTTTTGTGCCTCTGTTACGAGGGTAGTCCCAGAAGTACCTGACCTAACAAAGAAAACACAAAAAATTTCGGAAAAAATATCTTTATTTCTCTACATAGTCTTCTTTTAGCTCAATACACTTTTCCCAGCGATGTTCAGTAGCTTCGATACCCTGTTTATAGTGGGAATCGTCGAGCTCTTCAAAATAGCCATCAAGCCACCTTGGTCCATTGTTTTGACTGTTTCTTCGTCTCAGGTGTGAAATGATGGACCCATGTTTCATCCATGTTTATGAATCGACGCAAAAACTCGGCTTTATTGCTGCGAAACTTCGCCAAACACTCGATTGAAACATCCTCACGACGCTGTTTTTGTTCCAATCGCGGCACCCATCTTGCGCACAGCTTTCTCATGTCCAAATTTTCAGTCAATATGCGATGTACAGCACTTTTTGAAATGCCTACCATGTCTGCTAACTCGCGCACTTTCAGTCGACGGTCATCCAATACCATTTTGTGGATTTTCTTCATCATTTCTGGCGTGGTCACCTCATTTGGTCGACCACCGCGATATTCGACTTGGCAGCTCATACGGCCTCGTTTAAACTCTGCCACCCAATATTTTACTGTTGTAAACGAAGGAGCAGCCTCCCCCAGAGTAGAATCTAGTTCCGCTTTGATATTGGTTGGACTGAGACCTTTCAAATGAAAGTATTGTATCACATAACGATGACCAATTTTTTCCATGTTTACAAATTCACTGAGAGCGTTCACTGATGGCTGCCAAACAAATACTAAACAACGTAGCGTCGTCAAACTTCAAACTTAAGCTTTATAAGGTTGGTACTTTCTACCATAGTCATTCTTTTCAAACAACAACCGCTATCTATACGTCAGGTCAGGTACTTCTGGGACTATCCTCGTACGAGGTGTGGCTATAAAATAACGAGACTATTGCTGCAAAACATTTTATTTTGAATTTATACATTTTTAGTTATTATCACCTTCAATATACACCTCTCCTTTATCCCTACAACGCTCCATGCGAATTTTCCATTGTTCGAAACAGTGTTGGAAGTCTTCTTCTGTGAGCTCCTTCATGACGCATGCCGTTTTTTCTTTCACAGTTTCAACGGACTGAAATCTTGTTCCTTTTAATGCAGATTTGACCTTGGCAAACCGATAAAAGTCGCATGGTGCAAGGTCTGGCGAATAAGACGGATAGTCTAACACTGGGATGTTGTACTTGGCTAGAAACATCTTGACAGACAATGCAGAATGAGCCGGCGCGTTGTCTTGATGGAGAACCCATGACTTGGTCTTCCACAATTCGGGTTAAATTTGCCTTACGCATTCTTTGTCAATTCCTACAGTTTCAGCAATCGCACGAATAGTTAACCGACGGTCAGATCGAATCAGATTACCGACTTTTTCAATATTTTCATCCGTTTTTGACGTGGAAGGGCGACTCGGGCGTGAATCATCTTCAACGTCTTCTCGGCCATCTTGGAAATGCTTAAACCACTCAAAAACTCGCGCACGTGATAAACATTCGTTGCCATACACTTCTTTTAATAAAAGATAAGTTTCAGTAGCGCATTTTCCAAGTTTCATGTGAAATTTCACGACGATTCGTTGCTCTATTTTTACACTTATCATTTTTCCGGCGAAACAAAATAACGGCTCTTATACAAACGAAGGCCACGACCAGACTAATTTGTTTACAGACACCGCCGCATTCGAAAGAGAAGGCTTCACGCTACACAGCTGTCGGTCGTTCGCGTTTGGCACATTCGTATTTCTTCTGCGGAAGCATCAGTCTCGTTATTTTACAGCCACACCTCGTACGAGGGTTGCCTTTTATATTTCGGGAATGGACGATCCAGGTGCTGCCATCTGACAACCGACGTCCCTAACGTAAAGTTCGACTTTTTGTCTTGAGTATACTTACTCAGAACGTTTTGACGTCCATGCGTCATTTGTGTTATTTACAGTGACATGAAAAATTGATGGCCAAGAAATTGTCGGCCAAGAAATGGAATTAAGTCGTGAACATTTCCGTGCGATTATTTTTTACAACTTTCGACGTGGATTTATCTCAACAACAGTGCATCGATGAACTTAATTCGACTTTTGGCGATGAAGCACCATCAAAAACCACTATATATCGATGGTATACGGAATTCAATCGTGGCCGTAGTTCGCTTAGTGATGAATTTCGTGAAGGTCGTCCAAAATCGGTTGTTGTTCCAGAAAATATTGATGCTGTGCGTGAACTGATATTGCAAGATCGTCATGTGACTTATCGTGAGATTGAGGCATCCTTGGGCATTAGTGGGACCAGCATACATTCAATATTGCATGAACATTTGGCTGTCAAAAAAATTTGTTCGCGTTGGATCCCACATAATTTAACAATCGCTCAAAAAAAGGCTCGTGTCGATTGGTCGAAAGAAATGTTCAAGAAATACGATTGCGGTGCTTCAAAACACGCCTATGATATCGTAACAGGTGACGAATCATGGATCTATGCGTATGAGCCCGAAAGTAAACAGCAGTCGACTGTATGGGTCTCTTTCAAGATGAGCCAAATCCAACAAAAGTTGTTCGCGCACGAGGCACTTCTAAGCAAATGGTCGCCTGTTTTTTCGGAAAAACCGGACATGTGGCAACTGTACCATTAGTGCAACGTCGGACGGTCAATTCTGAATGGTACACAACCATTTGTTTGTCAGAAGTCTTCGGAAAAATAAGGGAAACCAACCGCCGAAGACGCATCACTCTTCACCAGGACAATGCGAGCTCTCACACATCGGCTCAAACAAGAGACTTTTTGAGAACTGAAAAAGTCGAATTGATGGATCATCCGCCGTACAGCCCTGATTTGGCACCCAATGACTTCTTTTTATTCCCGCAAATCGAAAATAAATTACGAGGTCAACGTTTCTCGACGCCTGAAGAAGCGGTTGATGCGTTCAAAATGCATGTTTTGGAGGTAGTGGAAAATCAATCGGAGTGGAAAAAGTGCTTCGAAAATTGGTTCGAGCGCATGCGAAAGTGTATTGATCTTCATGGAGAATATTTTGAAAAACAATAAACCCATGTACGATGATTAATTTCCTTTTTTTGTTCTCTATTCCCGAAATATAAAAGGCAACCCTCGTATTTATTCTAACCCGCAACTCCGGAAATCCTCCTCCGTTCTCGCACACACGGCGACAAATCTCGCCGCCGAACTTGAGGCGGGTAACCGGAGCGAAAGGAATGATTTTCCGCGGAGGCGCGCTCGGGAAAGAGATCCTAACGAAATGATCGCCGGAGCGACACGCGAGGGGAGAAACCGCCGAGAGGGGAGGAGCGCAGCAGGCTCCGTCGTTCAACAAGTACCGGAGCCCGCGCGACCTCGCGTGGACGTTGCTTTCTCCTTCCGCGGTCGAGCGAGCCGCGCTCGTTGAGACCGAGAGAAACCGGGCGGCTAGCTTTCGTTTTACTTGATTTTCGGCCGGCACAGGCGGCCAAACAGCCGCCTACACTGCGCTCTCGTACAAAAGCGCGAGAGCACAAATGTAACGCACAACGCGGTATCGCATCGTGCCGGCGCCGCCGGTGCGGGGTCGCCGACCTCACGAGTGACGTAACGCGCCGTAACGTCGCGAGGAGAGGAACATCGCGGAGGAGCAAAGCACGCAATATCTGTGCGTGGAGGAAGGGTTCGCGGGGCATAAATACCGAGATAACCGCAGGCAAGGCGCGTCAGTGGTGATAGCGGCTGCTGTCATGACCGCAGATTGCGCACCTTCGCGAAACGCCGCGCTTAATAAGTGACGCTTTGATATCTTGCCGACCTTCGGCGGAATGGCGCGACGAAATTCGCCTCGTCGGCCGCACCGCCGATTGATTGCACAGGTCTACAAAAAATGGGATCATGATTGTTGTTGGGCAGCTGGGGGTCGTTTCCCAAGTAATTTTCTGCGTAGAATCCGAATCCGAGGTCAGAATTGGCCCATCACGTCAGGATTTTGAGATATTTGAGGTTATATACTCGAAAAATGGCTTTTTGGGCTACTTTTGAGGTTATGTATAGGACGCACAAAATTTTTTAGCTCTTTTCTTCTAATTGCATCATTTAGTACTACTCTGTCCCTTCAAAATGAGCTGTCGAATGGTCATCTACGATTTTTCCTTGCAAAGTTACGGCCATTTTAAGATAACATGATGAATTCCAAACCCTGCGCCGTTATAGCCCAACAACCTCATGAGCATTCACATTAAACCTGTAAACTTTGAACTATAAACCCGAAAACCTGGACTGAAAACTGTATATATGGGTTTTTTTTTCGTTGTCGATAGGTTTTTAATGAACCCACTTGGACACCTCGACGAATGCTCGCACATGCGTTTCCAGGCAACATGCATCGCAAATGTCGAATCTCAACAGCTGTAAGCATACAGCTGGCTGCTTAATTCGCGAAGCTCGATATTATCAGGCTGGCAAGAAAATTTTCATACAAAGTAACAACTTTATTCTGTAATGTATTGCTCGTTTAATTCAATGACCTTTCGGTCATTTGCTCGGAGACTTGGTGATTCCGGCCTCATAGAACTTCTGGTCCTTATCGGCGAAAAGCTGATTCAAGCACGAAGTCGAATCGAAGAATCGAGTTTTTTTTCCGTCCAAGGAATTTTGCAAGGAACGAAATAAATGGTGATCTGATGGTGCGAGATCAGCCGAATATGATGAGGTGTGGTAACACATTCCACTCAAGCTGCGACAATTTCTGACGGGTGATGTACACCAACGTGTATGTACACAGTCTGTCCCAGATACGATGAGATTGGTTCCATCAAAGTTCTTAGCGCAGCGACATTTATGAGTGAATGATGATAGGTGAATGTTCTACCCTTCATCTACTTAACCTCAAAATTTCAGCGAATTCGGTTGATATTTCACTGCGGTTTGACATTTTATGTAAAGTCACTTTGTGTACGTCGGTCGAAAACCAACACAGAGCGAATATTAAATTCTGTTTTAAATTGGGTAAAAGTAGTGCAGAAACGTACGAAACGCTAAAAAATGTGTACGGGGATGAATGCATGTCCCGTGCACAGGTTTTCCGTTGGTTTGGCCGATTCCGTGACGGTCGTGAGGACCTTGCAGACGATGACCGAGCACCGTCGCCAAAAACCACTCGCAATGAAGAAAACATCGAGAAAGTCAAAGAAATTCTTCGAAGCGACCGCTGTGTGTCTGCGAGACTCATCGAAGAGGAAACTGGGATACCGAAAAGCACAGTCTATCGAATTTTGACCGAAGATTTGGGCAAACGGAAGGTCTGTGCGCGCTTCGTGCCACACACTCTGACAGACGACCAAAAAGATTGGAGAGTTCAGCATTGCAAAGACATCATTGTTATCGACCATCCACTGTATTCACCTGATTTAGCTCCGTGCGACTTTTGGCTATTTCCCAAACTGAAATTGCCGATGAAAGGAAATCGTTTCGATACCATCCCGGTTATCCAAAAGACTTCGACCGCCATATTAAAGGCCATTCCAGCTGATGAGTATAAAAAATGTTTCGAAAAATTTGTTGAACGTTTTCAGCGCTGTATTGACTCAGAAGGAGACTATTTTGAATAAACAAGAATAAAAAATCAAAATAATAAACGCTTTGTATTTTTTTTAGACCAGTCTCATTGGATCTGGGACAGACTGTGTAGTTTAGCGTAGTCACAGTGAAAGACAATAACTTTACGATATGTTTTTTGCAAAACATATGGCTTATATTGAAGAAACAAAATTTAAGAAACAAAAAGTACATCAATCAAAATATTGTCCATCGTTAGCGATGACCTTTTTCCGGCTTTACGGGTCAGCAAGCGAATTCCGCGGCGAAAGAATGACTCATCTTTGGAGGCTATCCAGTCAGAGACCCATTTTTCGACGTCTTCGTAAGAATTGAAGCATTCGTCAGCAAGTGCGTGTGCCATCGACCGAAACAAGTGGTGGTCGGAAGGGGCACAGTCTGATGAATAAGCCGCATGGGGTAACACTTCCCAGCGAAGTGTTTCTAACGTTTCCTTGACAGATTTTGTGACGTGAGGCCGAGCGTTGTCACGAAGCAAAATCACTTTATCCTGTCTCGTTTCATATTCTAGTCGTTTCTCGTGCAATGCTCGGCTCAAACGGATCGTTTGTTCTCTGTAGAGATTCCCTGTGACTGTTTGACCACTTTTCAACAGCTCATGGTACAGCACACCCTTCTGATCCCAAATACAGAGCATTGTCTTCTTTCCGTGGATATTCCGCTTTGACGTCGATGTTGAGGGTTGGCCGGGATCGCAAAAAGTTTTCCGACGTTTGGGGTTGTCAAAATAAATCCATTTTTCATCCCCAGTGATGATACGATGTGAAAACCCCTTTCTTTGTTGCCTAGCGAGCAGAATTTCGCAGGTGGTTTTTCACCTTTCAATGTCTCTTGGCTTTAGTTCGTACGGGACCCATTTTCCTACCTTGTAAACTTTTCCTAAGGCTTTCAAACGATCGGAAGTGACAGATTGAGCACAATTTAATGCTTCTGTAAGTTGCTTTTGCGTTTAACGTGGGTCTTCGTCCACCAATGCCCGCAATTCTTCGTCTTCGAATACTCTTGGCCGTCCAGAACGCTCTTTGTCCTCTGCATCAAAATTACCAATTTTAAAGCGTCGAAACCATTCTCTGCATGTTTTATCGGAAGGAGCATTATCACCATAAACTTCTACAAGCATTCGATGAGTTTCAGCTGCAGTTTTCTTCCAGTTGAAGCAAAAGATTAACACTTCGCGCAAATGATGCTTATTTGGATGCTGAAATTTCGACATTTTCGACGCAGTAAAAAACAATGTCATTGATGCAAATCTTGTATGATGTGTACCTGTATATACTGAATGTTATTGACGGATGTCAAAGCAAACCATTGAGCTTCGTTTAGACCAACAGAGGTTAACGACAGTTCTATTGGGTTGGCAACTAAGTGATTGCGGATTTGAAATAAGAATGAAAATTCAAAATTTTAAATTTGCTCTTTTAAATTTTTTTCAATGCATGTATGCGATACATTGAGCTTCTCTGCAATATTACATGTTGTGCTATGACGATCTGAATCGATAATGGCCTTGATATGGGTCTCATCGACTTCAACCGGACGGCCAGATCGTTGAGCACTTTTCTGTGAAAAATCACCAGAACGAAATCTGGCAAACCAATTTTGACACTGCCTTTCTTTCAAGGCTTCATTCCCATATACGGCACATAACTTCTTGTGTGCTCGCGATGCGTTCTTGCCTTTTCGGAAATAATACAATAAAATATGTCTGAAGTGCACGTTTTGCTCTTCCATTTTTAAATTGGGATAAAAACAAAACTAAACAACTAATCGATATAATTTTTGTACTAAATGAAAGGTAGAAGTCCAAACAATAAGAAAAAAATATAGGTTAGGTACTTTGAACACGTTAACGAAACAAAAGGAAGTGTAAAATCCATCTGTCGACAAAATCCGCAATCACTTAGTTGCCAACCCAATAGCTACAGCTATACTTGCTGCTAGATGGACGGAACTTTCCGATTGACCTAATAATTGCGTCTAATGACGAGTAAAGCCGTGTCTATCCGTGAAAAACGACATGACTTTGCTGGCAACCTGATAATTCTTCGATAAGTTTCCGAGAAGAAATTTCGGAGAAAGATATTTGATGGGAGCATATCGCTCCCAGCACGAGAAATGAAGGTGCGTGAACATACGGATGACTGATTGCGTTACGCGGCGCAAGCTACACGATCAACACAACAAAGGCAACGAAGAAGCCGCGTAGAGTTTTATCACTGACGCCTGCGATAATGTCTTGTTGTGACTACAAGCGCCTCACTGATAATGCGCGATCTCTTTGTTTGACGTTGCGCGTCACGTGAATGCCGATAAAAAGTATAACGTTGACTCTTAACCCTTTATACATCCTGCCCGATAAATTAAGCGAGGATGCGGCGCATCGTGGCTTCTCACTCGTGTTAATTCGCGTCATCGTGAGACCGCGAATAAAATGACACGACGAGCCGACAAGTTCAGTCGAGAAGGAAGAAAGAAAACAGTTGGGTCAAAACAGTTCTCCGGGAAAAAAACGTTTGTACTTCCGTGGAATATGATCAAGTTGTTTCTTCTTCACGAGAAACGGAATGTCCATTTGGACGGATGCAATTGCGAGTACATTGTTCAGCATTTGTTCGCGAAATGAATAACTTGCGATCTGTGAGAGAGATGAAAAAAAATATTACGTGGCAGTGTATATTTCTGTGTGTAGGAAATGTTAAAGCCGCGTGAATGTACCGCTCGTCGTCGCACACATACGCGCGTTTTTTACGATCTTCCTTGATGAAACTTTCACATCACCGTTATGCAACTCACGTCACGTGCGAAGAAACTTCACAGCGAAAACACGTTTGCTCTTTTCTATTTCGTAATAGTCTAAAGTTCGTTTTTTTTTTTCGACGTCGCGTCAAATCGATAGATCTGTGTGTTCTTAACACTCGACGATCGACAGCGCTATTTGGAAGATTGACTCTCTTATCCTGGTTTGTACCTTCACGCCGGCTGGTGACGTCAATCGGGAGGTAAACTGAGCAATAAAATAAGCCTTGAAGAAGTTCTCGTTATAACTCGTCGACGGAGAAGAAACGACGACGAGCCGATTAGTCATCCGACGATACTTCAACGTAACGGTGATAAAAATTCAAAAATCCAAATGTAACAATTGCCGCCAGATTGATCGAAAATAAAATAGATGCGATAAATCAACCGATATCTGAATCGTTAACAAGACGGTTTTTTTTTCGCGCGTATGCGTCAATGCGTTATCAGTCGAATCGTGATCTTGCGACATTCAAATCGCTGATTTGATATCGTTATTGAATTTCTTGCCCATTGAGTGGAACTGGCATTGAATGTGGCCGAAGAAAACAAAGGAACACTTACGTGTATCGTACCCCCTCCCCCCCCCCCTAGTAGTGCCATTTCTTCTTGAAGTCTGAGAAATTTAGAACTTACGAAAGCTCGACGTTCGGATTGTAACATGAGAAGTCCAGATGACAACATGAGAAAGACGAGAGACGAAGAAGAAGAAGAAAATCTGTCGCGGATAAAACGAGTTAGATTAAACAGTGACAAGTTTATCTCCCATCAACAATCTCGACCGGCACATGGCGGAATCGGTCTCGAAGACCGAGACGAAGTGACGCATAAACATATTTCGCAACTGCAACGCGGTCCCCCCCCCTCCCCATGATGCTTCACGATGCAGTCGTGTATGCAGCATTTTATAAAATCGTGTTTATCGCTCGACGGAGCTCGCGACGCAACGATACCTGAAAGATAATCATTTATTTATCTGTCCGTCGACGCGCAATAGTTGGCCAACCGCGCGCGCCAGTGATGGCGTGAGTCGGCCGAAAGTGTTTATCGCTGACAGCAGCCTGATCATACGATGCCGTGGTCGGTGCCGACGTTCATGAATCTAGGCCATCCGATGTGTGAGACCACTTTGCTTTCTTTCCTTCCTCCATCGAGGCGAAGGAGGCTCGGTGTCCCTGGTCTGACCGGCGACGACCAATCGGTTCGCGTCTCACCACGAAAACACATCACGTGTTCTCCACCTTGCACGCGCCGCTCTCCGACAAATGCGCACACGGTGACGTGGTTATGACGACTTTGATCATAGAACAACGACGACAAATTCGGGACCGACGGGAAAATGTCGCGACATTTAGTAAACATTTTTATCATGCCTTTTAGTAAATTTTTTTATCATACTTTATCATTATTATATATTGTTATATATTGTTATATCATATATTGTACAATTGATTATAGTTTTCTTTCCATTGAGAGGTAAGAAAAAAAAAAACACAAGACACGAGTGAGAGCGTAAAAATAATGCTGCTGGTGAACAAACAAATGGTTTTAACGAGCCAGCTCTCAAGAGAATCGAATTCACAAACCGATAATAAGAGTGAGAATTGAACGGTGATTGATTGACGGTCAGTTTCATGTAGTAAACACGAGAGAGCTGTCGCGCAAAAATGAATCTTAACATTCCAGAGAGAGGGAGAGGGAGAGAGAGAGAGGGGGAGGGAGGGAGGGAGGAGGGAGGGAGAGAGAGAGAGAGAGAGAGAGAGAGAGAGAGAGAGAGAGAGAGAGAGAGGTCCTAATTTATTTACGAGATACAAGCAATTTGTTGTCGCACATTTCAGGAATGCAAGCGATAGCTCGACGCGATGAGCGCAGCGTAAAGTGCTAATCAGGCGTAATCGCGTGTCGATATATGCGTGTCGATATATCGCATATTTTATTATTTATAAAATAAATAATAAAATATGCGATAACCGGGAAACGTGGGCGATTTTTCCCGACCGTCGCGACGGCCGAAGCAATCGCGACGACGTCAAAAACGAGATACTACCGAGCACTTTCTTCCTGAACACCGTGTATACGACGAGCACACATCCCAAGACCGTTTCCGTCATGACGATAAACACTGAGCGACGCTCGGTCGTGGCTTCAGTTTGTTTCAGCCGCTCCTACGCGTCGGACGCGTCACACGCGTCTTTCACGCTCGCACACACACACACACGCACGTCAGTCACACATACGCGCACGCACACCTGCGTGCACGTGCGTATATACGTGCTCGTTATAGCGATCTCGTGAGAACGAACCTCGGTCGGAGCCGTTTCTTCAGTCAAGCGCAGCCGCTCGAGCAGGACGGACGCGTGTACGTTCGTCCGCGCTTTTCTAGTCTCCTCGAGGACGAATCCGACGCAGCAGTTGGAGAGAGAGAGAGATCGTCGTCGAACCTCGCCGTCGAGGTCTGATCGCCCACGTGCTCGCTAGAAGCCGACGTTTCCCGCGCGTGAGTATACAAACAATGACAACTCGCGGCCGCTGCGTGCGGAAAATGTCGGTATCTCGACGTCGGTTTATCCGTCGTTTTACTGCGAGTTAAGAAACTACGCTCGCGAAAGTTGGAAAAGCATGCGTCAGCGACGAGCGGGAATAAAAGAAGTCCTGCTTGAGCGACGGAGTTCAAGCGACGGGTCTCGGTTCTGTCTGCCTGTTTCCCTCCGCGTCGGTTAAAGCCCGTGTCACACTACGGATTGAAGATCGAGGATTGCGGATTGAGGATTAGATTTCGACAAATCGACGAACTTCGGTTTTGATTCACTTTATTCCGATTGGTCAAATTTCAATCTTAAATCCGCAATCCTTGATCTTTAATCCGTAGTGTGACGCAGGCTTAACTCGACTGACGTCGGCGACGTGGCGACGAATCGCGCGAGATGGAATCGACGAATTTCTGTGTTATTTTTCGACGGCGCGAGACGCCGTCATTTTCACGGGGAAATTCGCGAGAGACGAATCTGCCGGGGCTCGTTCGTTTGAAGATTCGTTGTTTACGGCTCGTCGCTGTTCGTCGTCTCGCGCTTATCACGGTGTGCTCGCTCTCATAGACACGTGATTTGGTTATGTGCGCATTAGTTGCGCCAGAAGCCGAGCGAACAGACTGTTTGTTTGCTTTTTGCTGTTAAGTTAGATCTAGAAATCTAGAATATGATTTTCGTCCTGTGTGGGATGTAAACAGTTTGCGAAATCATTCGGTCGACGCGCAGTATCTCGATAAACGATATTTCCCGTGCAGTATGAATTTTCCAACGCGAATCGCGAATAGACTCGGTATGGATTCTAGCAAGAAATATGCGTCGGCTGAAGAAATATGAGAGTTAAAGAAAAAGCGTAGTTGCGTCATTGGTTCCCCTTTAGATCGCGTTGATCGCGTCACGAGCTGCGCTTCTTCATCGCGACGATGACGATACGGAAGTTATATTTGAGGAATAGATAAGACAAAATTCGTCCATCCGCCGCGACGCGATCACTTATAGCGATAACCGTTTGAAAGCGTCTGCTTTGCATAAATATCTCGCTGGAACCCGTAATGGCCATTTAAATAATTTTGCATACATCTACATATGTATGATGTCGCTGCGAGGCTGCGCGCTCCAAGACAAAGATCGTCTCCCAACTGTTACATCGCGAACGCCAAACCGACATCGCGATCGTCAGTGATCAAAAGAAAAATACCTCGTTCATCGTCATCGAGGTAAATGTTACGATTATTATGTCCAACGGCATTTGTCATGTCACATTCTCCCACTCGCGAAAGGCAGACTCTCGCGTGTGGGAGAAGCACAATGTGAGGAGCACTTCTGCACTTTTGTGCAGAAAATCTAAAAATCTCGAAGAAGACACTTTGCATATTCAGCAGAAGTTCACACACGTGAGTTGTTCGATACGAGCGTAAGGTGTCGTTAATTATAAGTGCGCAGTGAGCTTGGTATGATCGAACGAATGAATAAGTAATGATTTGCGCGCAGCAAAAATTTGCAAGAATTACGTAAGAGAAAGAAGAAATTACGGACAGAGAGGGACGAAGAGAGCGAGAGGAAGCCCACGACTGCAAGAAATACGCAAATGATCGGGACGAATATCAAGATCTGCATAGGCAACGCACGCAATTCGTCGCCGCGTCAATTCGCTTCGAGCTCACTGAAAGCTCGTCATTGTTGTCTCGATGGCACTCAAAGCATGCGTCCACACGGACCTTGTTGACCAATGACGTCGTTGAAAAGCTCACGAGTTCGTAGAAGAGAAAACATGTTTACACGCTGCAATGATGATGATATTTGCAATCACGTTGATCACTTTGCCGGCGTAATAGGCTCGCACGACGACGCAAATGTAGGAAACTGTAGATTGCAAAAATACATCCACGAGTGTCTCTTTGTGCCAAGACACGCGAGCGACGAGATATAACAATGATACGACAAATTCCAACATGACGTGACGCGAACATTACGAACTTTGATAAATCGTTGAACGTTGGAATGTCTCGAAGTCGAATCTCAAGTCGAGTATCCGGATAGCCCCGGAGGTCTTAATTTCTTATCAGACATATCCCGTCTAATTTATTCAGTCAGGCAATTTTTAGTCTGTGAATAAACAATTACAATAAATTACTAATTATATCACGAGAACAATATTCCGTTTTTCGTGCATTATTTTCTATTGCATAGAGAAGAAGGTGGTATATTGTGGTCACTCTCAATATCTTTGTTATTTATAGGTAGCGAATCCCAGTTATTACTTGTGGAATTATTTGTTCAGTAGTTGCGCTCATTAGAGCGCAATGACGCTAATATATCAATACGCAATAGCTAGCGTTGTTTACAACGCATTTTTACCTTCGAGCACTTCGACATGTTTTTACGACACGATACCTTTTAACGTTTAATTAAACATGTTTCTCCGTTATTTTTAAACTTGAACGTATTATCACACGTACAATTGAGTATCTTGTTTGCTAATTGACATTTTATTCGGCGTGCATCTTTCAAGTTACGCAAAGTTAAATGAAATAGCATGACAGCTGGAGTGACGACAGCTAGACACAAGAGTGCTAATAAATACCGCCTCTTTTTGAGAGGTTTTTATACCAAAATAATTATTCGATAAGTCGATTCTAATCTGTAGCCCGTTGTTGCACTCATGTTTGCACTACACTGCTGTCTTTCTGGCAGATTGTGTTTCTTAACAAGCAAGTCAATATCCACATTAAAAATTCACAGTTATATATTTGTTATTATTCTCTTTCCAAGAGTTTAATTTGAATAAATATATAATTTCGCAACTAGACGCGTTCCGTGTTATTTTAAACAAAATCAGTGTTTTGTATCAGTTTTAGTGGGAGGTCACATTACCACCCTACTTTCTCGCCGACCCGTTATGCTGTGTTGCATTTTTATAAATAACATCATGTAAATTTAAGTCTGTAATCGATTAAACACCGTGACGAATGAAATCACTTGGTTCTCACTTAAAAATATCGAGATTATTGACAAAGTTATTGTATAAAATGCGAATGAAGGGCCATAATACCAGACATTTTGTGTCATTTTAAACAAAATCAATTTTTGTATCGGGTTTAATTCGGGGGAGGGAGGGGGCACAGCATTACCACACCCCACTTTCTCGCCCCATTATGCTGTGTTGCCACATTTTTATAAATGACATTATATAAATTTGTGTCTGTAATCAGCAACTGTAATCAACAACACCGTGACAAACGTAATTATTCAGTTCTCGCTTAAAAATATTGATTATTAACAAAGTTATTGAACAAAATGCGAATGGAGGGCCATAATATATTCTCCTTCTCCTTTGTAATATAGAGCTCGGCAAAGTTTACAACTTTCGGCCGATTTTCGGAAGCTACGCCTTCTGTCTCCCCTTACCGCGCGGCGGATCCAGCAACTTGACGGTCGCGGCTCGCGACTTCAGGTCCGTTGAGATCATAAAGCGCTATGTGGTTGAAAAAAAAAAAATGCGTCGGCAATAGTACCTCATGGATGACGAGGAAACCTATTATGTTACCTTCTAATTATAAAAATGTAAGAAAAAAAAAATATATATATATACTTATACAAGTATATATTTGTACAAGTTTGTACGAAATATTATACGTATAGTTGTATCGATACATCAATTTTTCAGCCTTTGAGGTGCGTTAAAGGAGCGCGCTGTCAGCGCTAACACGTTATTTTTTTCTATCTTTATCGCTTATTACATGTACAAGGATTGAATGACGCGTTAGCGCTGATCGACGCGCTCCCCGAATCGCATCTTTGGTAGGCATAGATGCGACATAGATGCGCCTTATGATCTCAACGGTCCTGAAGTCGCGAGCCGCGACCGAGCTCCGATATAGAGTATCATAAAATATAAGAGGTAACTTTCAACATCCCGCGTGCGCATCTCCGACGTAACAAACTCTCGGCAGAACATCGCGCGTTACTGTTCATATTCGGCGTGACGTGATTATGCGGCAATAACGAACGACGTTCGTTGCACAACCCTTCGCTGGGAACAAGCGCGGGGTTGGTCGAGATCAAAGGGCTCCCTGGAAAATGAGGATTTTCTTGCAAATGCACCCTTGCAATTGCACAATGCCCTCACTGGCGTGTTGCCTCGGCGAACTAGCTTCGCGCGTTTCCCGCGCTTTGATCTTATTTCAGTGAGACGTGCTGAATTAACGAGGCCCAAGGCTACCGCGATACGCCAGAGACTATCGAGAGCCTCGAAATTCCACGAAGTGTATAAAGTATATCGCACGTGCAAACTCGACCCGGTCAGCACGCGCGAAAGAAGCTCGTTCGCCTCGGGAGGCCGCGGAACGTGCCAAGATGATTCCCCCGAAATCAATTTCCCCGAGTATTCGGGAAAGAGCGACTCACCGGTGAAGTAATATATTCTTGATAGTAAATAAAGTAAAAAAGTCTAATATTACTTTTTTCTTTTTCGACGAATAGCTCGACGAGTACTTAGCGAGATATCGTAAGTTAAACGTTGAAAGAGTCACCAAGTTTTCCTGAAATATTTCAAAAAATATTAGGCAAATGAAAACATGTTTCGGACAAAAGTTGTTGAAATTAATTGGTAGAAAAAGAAGATGTAATAAAAGATTGGGCTTTCTGTTTTAAAAAATTAAGTTGACCCTCAACTGACCTTGAAAATGCCCTCCAAATAAAAAACTGACAATGCCATTCTCTTTCCCCTTCGAGATCATGGGACACGTGTTTTAACTTTTTCTAATATCTTTCACAGTTTTCGAGATTGTTTACCTGTTGCGCTGGAAATTTAGCACCCTGTATACAGCGGGGAATATGTCAAGGGGGATGATGTAAAATACATTGTAACAGACACATATGAATTATATTTATAAAATTATTTAATAATTACAAGGCACATAAGCCGGGGCGTAATATTCACATAATACGTTTACCTGACACTTTTTCCGCG